AGGTGGCAAATCTCACAACCTTTAAAAAGTACATGGATGAGCACTGAAAATGTCATAGCATTCAAGGCTGTGGGCAAAGTGCTGGAAGGTGGAATTAATGCATAGATAGATCAGTGCAGACTTGATGAGTTGAAGGGCCTCTTCTGTGCTGTGTGACTGTACGACTTTATAACTCTTTCTAATCAACTAGCTCAAAACACTCATACCAGCTACTGCCCACCTCTCCTAGTCATTCCCCTTATGTGGTATTCCCACTGTCATGGTTCCTTTTGGGGACTTAACACTAGTATCATTGCTAACTGTGCAGCAGCCTAATGCCTAATATCTCTTCAACAAGCTGCCTGAGGCCACCCTTTAAGTGCCAACAAATTCCAGTTCAATGATAATGATGTCTGAAGCCCAATTAAAGGTACGTCTCAGATCTATCCATTCAGGTGAGCTCGTTTAATTGAAACCAAACAAATTTCCGTACAAAATTTTCATTTGTAGACAGATTCACTATAGAAAAATATAATTAACTCCTGGTGGGTAAAATTCAATATTATGAGCTGTGGTCCCTCATTCAGGCTGGAAGATTTCAATCTGTTCCATTTCACTGCCTGCGCCAGAGATGTGATCAGCATCAATCCAAATAGAGTGTAAAAAATCAATTCAAACAGTAGATTATGCTTCAGTTCCAGGAAAGGAACTTATAAAGGAATAACACGAATATATCTGAAAATGCAGCTGGATCCTGACAAGCAGAAATCAAACCAACTTCAATATCTAAGATAAACAGGGTGACTGAAAACAAAATATTGAGACAGAGACCAACTTTTGAAAATAGGGAATGGTGGAGCTACAGGAGAATAGAAATTTACACATGCTTAGTCTATCATATTTGTGCTGGATCTTTGTCAGTACAATTCAAATTCAATAGTGCAAAAAGTATCATGCATCCTAAGCAAACCTTCACCTGACATCCCTGCCCTTCCCACATTCCATAATTATTTTTTCAAAAGTGGTACAGTATTGGTATGAATAAAAATTCTACATTTATAATCACAGAATTGTTTTACATGATAACAGAGATTATGATAGTACTGACTATACATTTGCATTGTTCTACACTTTTCAGAGGATATGTTTTCAAAGAAAGCTCATTATAATATGTGATATGGTTTACAAGACATAATACCTGTAACAGTTACAAGATGACATTATGCACACTTTACATAATCAGTACTCATGAGGCGATTGCCTGATGGTATTATTACTAGACTAATAATCCAGATACCTAGGTAATGTTCTGGGAACATGGGTTTGAATCTCACCAAAGCAGATATGCTTAATGTTACACAGTATGATAAATGTAACTTCAAAGCTGCTGAAAAAAATTCCATAGTCTGGCCAGTCTTGTGGCAGTTGACAATCTTTACAATTCTTTAAAAGAAATTTCATGTTGTGACAAATTTCAAACACAATTATAAATCCCGACAAATAAAATATTATAACGTAAAACAAATTTTCTAATCTCTTCTGTTTGTACATAGTTAAACAGTCCTGCTAATACTTATTATAAAGGCAGCATAATTTTGGGGAAGACTGGTTGCTCAAATATAATTGTACATTGTCCTTGAAAGGATGTTCAAGACACTGACAAACAAGAAAGACATTCATTTTATATATATATTAAAAAGATATCCTTTATGGTTGTGATGTTCATTAATAAAATTAAATATTGGGTTTAACTTTGCCTTTATTGGTCAGTGCATTGAGTATAGGAGTTGGGAGGTCATGTTGCGGCTGTACAGGACATTGGTTCAGCCACTTTTGGAGTACTGCGTGCAATTCTGACCTCTCTCCTATAGGAAGGATGTTGTGAAACTAGAAAGGGTTCAGAAAAGATTTAAGAGGACGCTGCCAGGTTTGGAGGGTTTGAGCCATAGGGAGTGGCTGAATAGGCTGGGTTATTTTCCCTGGTGCGTCAGAGGCTGGGGGGTGACCTTATAAGGGTTTATAAAATCATGATGGGCATGGATAGGGTAAACAGATGAGATTTTTTCCCTGGGATGGGGTGGGGGGCATCCAAAACTAGAGGGCATAGGTTTAAGGTGAGAGGGGAAAGATATAAAAGGGACCTAAGGGGCAACTTTTTCACACAGATGGTGGCCCGCGTTTGGAATGAGCTGCCAGAGGAAGTGGTAGGGGCTGGTTACAACAGTTAAAAGGCATCTGGATGGGTATATGAATAGGAAGGGTTTAGAGGGATCTGGGCCAAATGCTGGCAAATGGGGCTAGGTTTATATAGGTTATACGGTCAACATGGACAAGTTGGACCAAAGGGTTTCTTTCCGTGCTGTGTATCTCTGTGACTCTATCACTCTATAACACATTTCTAATCCTGCACTTGATCTACAAATAATGAATAATAGATAATCTGTAGTATATCCAATTTATTTATTCCAAAGGAAATCAAAGACAGCTCATTGCTAATAAAAAAAGAAAAAAAAAAGGAATTTATATAGCATCTTTCATGACCACATGGTGTTCCAAAATGCTTTATAACCAATGAAGTACTTGTGAAGTGTTGTACTGAGTCAATACAGTCAGCAATTTATGCCCATCAAACTCCCACAACAATATGATAACGATCAATTTTTGGGGGGAAATTCATTGAGATATTTATATTGGCAAGGTACCAGGAATAACTCCATTCTTGTTTTTTGAAATAGTGAGTTGGGATCCTTTACAGCTACCTTAGAGGAGATGGGACTTCAGCAAACGTTTCCTCTGACAGTGCAGGATTCTGTTGCTCCCATTGTGTAGCCTCAAATCTTGTTGCAAGTAGTGAAGCAGTTGCTTGTTTTTGCTTGGAATAAGGACAAGGGTGATATTTTCATGATTTAAAACAGATCGAATGACATCGGGTGAAATGTGTTATTCATGTTCAACAGCTAATCTTCATCTTTTTTAGTATTTTAAATTCAAAATCCAAGATATTGGAGTTGATAATTGCTTGATCCACTTAAACGTTCAAACACTGGGGTCAGAGGAATCAGGGATGGAGTTACATGACATGAGGGAGAGGGAATAGGGTTGCAGGGAGATTGGGATTCTGGGCTCAGCTGCAGGGAACAGAGTAGAGGTGCACAAGAGGATGGAGTTCTAGGATCAGAATGCAGTTCCAGGCAGAGATAGGGCAGGGCATGGCATTCCAGGTGGACGGAGTTCAGGGAGTATCAGGGTGGATGGGGCACCCAGGGTTGGTGTGGGATGGGATTCCAGGGATGGAGATGGAAATGGGCTTTCAGGAAGTGGGAGTTGAGGTCCTGTGGAATGAACATGCAGCTAGAGGTGCTGTGGGTGGGGAGTAAGCAGAGCTTGGAGAATGTGGTTTGACAGCTTGAATTAAAAATAGAATGATGTTTTAAAAGCTTATAAACACAAAATGATATACTTGTCATGGACAAGAAGGCAGTCCTCATTGGAATTGACTTATTACTACACAACCCCACTGACCTCATTGATGGACCTACACTGCAACTTGTGAGCAAATTCTTGCTGCAGCAACAAGATAGGAATGTAGTTTTAAATGCAGTTGGCAGTGTACGCCAAATAATTTTGCATTATTTCAATGCTATTTTAATATAACTTCTTTTTTGGTTATTTTGTTTTTAGCACATGCAATTTGGCACTTAAATTCATTTGCCTAACTGGAAGACTCCTGCTGTAACTAACAAGAGTTCATTGGAACAGCCGCAAAATCAGCCAGGCCTCAGCTATGTTGGATACTAGCCTGCTGCAGGGATTCTCCACGTCAACAGTTCCCATACCCCAACTCTCAGCCAGGCCTCTGGGGAGGGTCGGTACAGTACCTGAACAGAGAAGTGGTACCTATGTCTACTGATATCAGGCCAAACTGGTGCTTCAGGCTTGAATCAGAATTTGAGTTCCCAAAGATTACAAATGAATGGCCTACCCCTGTTCTTGATTCGTAAGTTCATATGTTTGACTGCCAGACACTCCTTTCGGAATGAGGAAACGAAGAAAAAACAGATAGCCTTTCTGATTTGAAGCTTTACTTGGTGTTTCAAGATTCTTCAATGAGAAAACAGATCACTCTCCCAAACCATCGTAAGTTCAAATTTTACTACCCTACCCCAGTCTGTAAGCTGAGTCTAAAGCAGACGCTAGCACTTAAACTGGAATGCGGTCGCCCACTTCATGGATTTTCATTGGCGTTTTTGTTTTGCATCAAACCACTCCTTTCTCAGTTTTGAAGTTGCAAAGTCCCAGCACTAACTCATCCAAATTTACCAGATAGCAATGTGAATCCATGCATCAATCTCCATTTGGCTACTAAATGAAACATTCTACAGAGAAGTATCTGACTTTGGGGAACATACTGCTTTAATCCTTTCTGACCTACAATAGCTGCATTCTAGGTAACTAGTCTGTCTTAACAGCTTAGTCAACAAGGCTGAGCAGTGGGTTGATGTTTTAACAGAGGAGAAAAGATAAAAACAGTACAAGGATTAAAAATACCTGTTTAATTTTATCAGATTCTGACTTTGTTTTATTCATTAGTTATTTTCAAGAACCAATACAAATTAATTGTATTATTTGCAGAAGTACACAGACAACAAAGAGAATGCTCGTAGATCCATACACCAACATGCTTTCTTTGAATTATTACTTTAGTGTTAAAATTATTCCCAATACCCTATTTTTTTTAAAACCTAATATAGGAAACTTTGTAAAAGCAGGACAAGACAGCCCTGTGAACTCAACATATATCAAGATCAGTCATAGAAGTTTCTTACTAAATTACAAAGACACGGACATGCAGACCGCAGTCTTTTGCTCAGTGCTTATGTCAATCTTCAACAATTACACTGGAATATTGCAATGTCATGACTCTGATGTATTTCTCTGCTGCAGAAATTCTTAAATCTATCAGAAATGTAACATCTTCAACAGGACGTACAACACACGCCAAAGCAGATGCACAAGGGTCCTAAAACAAACTGATGTTTGTTTAAAAATTGTCGAACAATTTTAATAAATTAGTGGGAATAAATATTCCAAAACTGAATCCTCTCAGTAATAAACGTGATGGAGACTTAGTGGAACTTCTGATAATGTACAGAGCCATCCACTTCTTTCCTAAGATATACTGCATTGGTAATGAGCTCTCGGTCCACATAAAATGTTCCCAGATTGGTACGAATGTAGTCATCAAACACATTCCCATAGTTCAAACAGATTAATTCAAGCCGATGTTTGATATTTGGTAGTTCAACCCTATATCACAGTGGCATAATAAATCAATCTAAAGGTTTGTGTAGACCATGCATGTGTGAAAATGGTTTTCTCACATTTTAAAATGATAAGGCACATATCAATAGTGTAAAAAAACTTCAAACTTTTTATATTGTTCATCATAGCGTTTTCATATCTTTTTTTCAAGTAATTTCCTATTCTCTGGATATTTGGCTTCATTGGTTGTTCTGTCATCTTCTACTTCTGAATGTTGGACGTAACTTGTTATAGCTGGAACATTTGTATTGTTTTCTTTCTCTCGTTCCTGTTCCTTTTTCTCTTCATCCAGTGTGCAATTTCCAAATGTTTCATATATTTTTCTAATATTCTCTGGTATCTCTTTCTTTAGTTCTCTATTTTTGAATCTCTTGGGCCCTCTTGCTGAAGATCCAACTTTATTGATGATGTTGTCCTCTGAAGCTCCTTGCATGTGTTTGTCATATTGCTTTGTTTCTTTCTGCTGTAGATTGTTAGAATTTCCATTTATACTTTCCTGAGACGAGGCCTTGAACTGTCCTGTTTCCAGACCTGCAAATGCTAATCGTTTCTCAGGGGAGAGCATATCAAGGGAATGGGCTCGTTGGTCCAAACCAAGCCGTCTTCGCTCCATGTTTCGGATAGTTGCTGCCCTTTGAAGTTTGTCATGAATTTCCACACTTAATCGCCTTCGTGTTTCCCTAAACTCTGCTGTCACGTTTGCTTTCCATTCAGCAGCGTGAGCCTTAATTTCACCAACCTTCCAGCACAAAGAAATTATTATATGTTGTCACATAAAACAAAGAATTATTCAGTAACAAGGCAACAGTAACATGCACAAGATTAACAGTGTTAAATATTGCTAACTTTACACACGAAATAGGAAAGAAAACAGAAGTTGCATGCATTCACTGCAGTGGCAATTTCTATTGCTATCATCACCTTGCAGATTCTTTTTGAAGTTATAGGTGGGTTTGTTAAATCTTTGCATTTTGAAAGTTTTAAAGACATTGGGACTTCTGCACAAGCAGAAGGAAAATCATTTGGAGTTTATTTTCGATAATGAATTGCCAAGCTATATTTTTCCAGCAGTGCCTGAAGCATTTTGTTTCTCTTAGACAAGGACTACTCAATTTCCTCATTATATAATGCAAAAGGGGGATAAGCTGAACATATATTACATTTAATGATTGAGTTGTAGAGATTTAACCCATTTCTTGAATTAGCTACTCACTAATATATCCAATGGAGTTTTCCTTTTGTGTTTCACCATGTCTTTAAATTGTACAAAAGGAACAAAATATTTAAATGGAAAAAGACTGCAATTAAGTACCTTTAGATTTTATAAACTTAAAAATCATCTCTAATTCTGGAAGCAAAAAGTTTCAAGATTCTAAATATATCTTTGGGATTTATCACCAAATAACAGTATTGCAAGACAATTAAATGTTCCTAAGGGAAATTCTTTGCTTTTGGTTTCAAATCCCCAGAAAATAAATTGAGACATCCTAATTTCATTTCAGCCTAGACAGCCCATTAGAATGAAAACCTTAATTACGCCTGCGTGAGCAGATCCTACAAATGAAAATGAATGATCTAACATAAAATTCCACACAACACGTCTGCTCAAAACTAGAGTTATGCCAATGTGGGGTGACTACGTTGTTTTTCATAAGAAGCTTATGAGCTTTTGCAGATTATGTTCCTCATTAATAAGTGTTGCATCTTTGCTTCTTGGCATATTCCTTGAGATATACTTTATGGTCTAGATTTGCAATATAGCTCTGATTTTATGAGGTTTCGCTGGAATTAGGCAGAAACACTGATGGTGGTAATGTTATAAACTTACGTACCTGATATTTTGAATGCTGAATTTATTAAGATGATGAATATGAACCAAGGAAGCAGTGCTAATTGTGAGAAGAACGCTGGTTTTAAGTAAGGCTATAAGCACATAATAAGACCATAAGGCGTAGGAGCCAAAACAGGCCATTTTCCCATTCAAATCTGCTCATCATTCAATGAGATCATGGTTGATCTAATAATCTTCAACTCCATTTTCCTTTTTTCTATAACCTTCAATTATCTTACTGTCTGTCTCTGCCTTGAATTTCTTAATAATTCAGCCTCAACAGCCTTCTGCAGTAAAGAATTTCACAGATTCGCTATCCTCTGAAAGAAAAAAAAACCCTCACCCTTGTCTTAAATGGGTGGTCCCTTACTCTGAGATTATGCCGTCTGGTATTAGACTTTCTCACAAGGGGAAATAACCTCTCTGCATATTCACTCTTTAGACTCTTGTATGTTTCAATAAGGTTGCCACTCATTCTTTTAAACTACATGCCAAACCTTCTCAATCTCTCCTTTTAAGACAGTCTCCCCATGCCTGGTGAACCTAGTCTAACTGCCTCCAATGCTAGAATATCTTTCCTTAGATAAGGGGACCAAAATTGTTTGTAATATTCTAGATGTGGTCTGACTAGTGCTTTGAGATAACAAGGTGTAGAGCTGAATGTACACAGCAGGCCAAGCAGCATCAGAGGAGCAGGAAAGCTGACATTTCAGCCTAGACCCTTCCTGCTCCTCTGATGCTGCTGTGCTCATCCAGCTCTGCACCTTGTTATCTCAGATTCTCCAGCATCTGCAGTTCCTACTATCTCTGACTAGTGCTTTGTATAGTTTTAGCAAAACCTCCCTATCTTATATTCCATTCACTTTGAAATAAAGGTCAACATTCCATTTACTTTCCCTATTACCTGCTGAACTTGGATGCTAGCTCTTTGTGATTCATACATGAGCAACCTAAAATCCCTCTGTGCTGCAGCTATATCCAGTATTTCTTCATTTAAATAATATTCAGCTCCTACATTTTTCCTGCATAACCTCACATTTTCCCGTTTTAAATTCCATCTGCCAAGTTTTCGCCTACTCACTTAGCCTGTCTATATCCCTCTATGGACTCTTTGTGTTCTCTTCACCCACTTGCCTTTCGACATGTGGGTGAATGAGGACGCTCTAATTGGCTACAGGCAGGATGCCCACCCTTCACCAAAAAGATGTCTTGCATTAGAGAGGTGCTGTGCAACAGAGGGCCAGCAGCTCTTATGTCTCAAAAACACCACTGGAGATGGAGTAGGGATGTAATGTATCATTGTGGCCACAGAGATCATGGTTGCAAGGACAAGGTGTTGCGAAGTTGGGTAGAGTATTTGTGGATTGGAAGGCAGGACATTAGAATTTGATGTTTGTAAAATGGTGAGGCGGGGGGAGGAGGAATGCATAGTCCCTGTAAAAATGATGTGCTTTTTCTAGGCTTGGCAATATTAAAAAATGGGCAGGTGCACACAGCTCCTGAAAGTGAAACATTGTATCAAAAGACTGTGTGGTTAACAATCCAGGCAATGGTTTGTTTTGTTGTTAAGGTAACCAGTTTGAAAATCAGCCAATTAACTTAAACTAGGCACCTAGAAACTACAAACCAATTAAGTTTAAACCTGATGGTTTTCACAACCTATGACCAATCCTATTGTAATAAATTAATAGGTCATCAAGGGAACAAATGAAGAGGGTATTTGAAAATCAGTATGACAGCAACTGCCATCTTATACAGCTAACAACCAGCCCTAAAGAGAAAATCACTTGCTCTCACAGAATTTTCTAAGCTCTCAGAAAAACATCATCTGATTAAAAACAAATCTATGGCAGATGCATTATAATTTGGATAAATGCGAGGTTATTCACTATGGAAGCAAAAACAAGAAGGCACATTACAACCTGAATGGCTATGAATTAGGAGAGGGGAGTGTGCAGCGGAACGTGGGTGTCCTTGTGCACCATTCGCTTAAGGTAAGCATGCAGGTGAAGCAGGCAGTAAGGAAGGAAAATGGTATGTTGGCCTTCATTGTGAGAGATTTTGAGTACAGGAGCAGGGATGTGTTGTTGCAATTCCACAGGCTCACCATACTTTGAGTGAAGAAATATCTCCTCATCTCCATCCTAAATGATCTACACTGAATCTTCAAACTTTGACCCCTGGTTCTGGACACACCCACCGTCGGGAACATCCTCCCTGCATCTACCCTGTCTAGTCCTGTTAGAATTTTATACATCGCTATGAGATCCCCCCATCAACCCCACATATTCATCTGAACTCCAGCAAGAACAATCCTAATCAAGTCAATCTCTCTTCATATGTCAGTCCTGCCATCCCTGGAATCAGCCTGGAAAACCTTTGCTGCAATGGCTCAAGAGCCAGAGCATCCTTCCTCAGAAAAGGAGATCAAAACTGCACACAATATCTAGGTATGGCCTCACCAAGGCCCTGTGTAGCAGGAAGTAGTTGATGCCAAAACATTGAACGTATTTAAGAGGCAGCTAGATATAGCACTTGGGGTGAACAGGATCAAAGGTTATGGGGAGAAAGCAGGATTAGGCTATTGAGCTGGACAATCAATCATGATCGTGATGAATGGCAGAGCAGGCTCGAAGGGCCAAATGGCCTCCTCCTGCTCCTATCCTCTATGTTTGTATGTAAAAGTACAGTGGCACTTTAATATTCCTGACACAAGAATTTCACAGAGAAAGGTGTTCTCGACTGAGAATCAGTGGAGAGGGCGTGGAAATTTCCAGAAGACGTATCCTGGCTGTAATTTTGAGAGATTAAGTTTTAATACCTTTTATCAATTTGTTTTATAAATATGGTAGTTGTATCTATTGGAACAGCATACTATTAGAATTTTGTTTTATTCGGGATTAGTTAGTATTTAATTGGGAATTGTTTGGTTTGTTAGTAGCTCTGTTAATTTGTTCATTGTTAGAGTTAGATAAATAAATTTTTACTTGTTGATTATAGAGCGAGTGAAAGGATTTTATTTTATTTAACCATTCCTTTATAACAAATTGGGAGGTGACAGGCAGGTTATACCACTTTTCACACTTCTTCATAACAAATTATGAGGCGAGACAAGCCTCTCTAGGTGTTTTAGTTTTAGTTTTAGTTATCGAGGGGGTGGTGTTGACCTCTGCTTCGTAACACAAGGAAACATGATTGCAGTGAGATCTGCACTTTGGGTGAGGGCTTTTGATGGTCACAGATAACCATCAAGGGGACACCCACATTTGTCAGGTTTTACCAGGCAGCCATAAGCTCTTCTGCAACAGGTAAAGTCCCAGCAACTGCAGAAGAAGGGACTTTAACGGACCAATAATTGGTCACTTTTAAATCTCATTTGGGCCACAGGTAAGTGCTCCCACCACCCAATGTCTCTCCTGCCATTGGTTAAATTGCAGTAGGGACTGGCGGGTAGGTGCTGAAAATGGGCTGCTGCATACCACCCAATGTTTACCCCTCTGGGAGATGGGGGCTGTGGTATTGTGGTGGTGATGGTGGCGGGGTAGTGGGTGGGAGTGGTATTGTGGTGGTGAAGGTGGGGGTTGTAAACACATAACGTTTTGACCCATGACTTTGGTGAAAGACTGCCCCATTGCACCTTGCCCACAGAAATGGAAGTTAAATGGAGTGATCATGCCAGAAGCTAAACCATGAAGAAAAGTTACAGAGGGTAAATTTTCTTTGCAATGAGGACTTTACTGCATTTCTTGCATAGCCTTCTGATCTGTGCATTTCCATCCATTTTGCTATAAAACTTCCAATTTCTTGCGGTCTTTGCAATTGTTCCTATTGTGCTGTATGAATTTGATGAGATCGGTTTCATGAAGGGACAAAATCATCACCAGGAGAATGTAAGTTCAATCCAATCAATATTCAAGTCTCTGCATTTATACACTACAACACTTCTCTCTGATTCAGTCAGAAGATACTTTGCTGTCTCCACTTAACTGCAGAGGCAATGATTGTGCTATGCCAACCTAAATGTCTGGGATAGCTTCACATCCGGCTGCAAAAGACTCAATAGCATCAAATTGTCATGCAATAGGATCCTTCTAAATCACTGTAAGGAACATCTGCCAGACAAACTAGCACATATCTGTATAAAGAAGTGACTGATGCTATGTTTACCAATGGAAACTAGAGTAGGCACAGATTATTTTGACTGGCAGGCTTTCTGAGAGCCCAGCTATAAATGGGATGCATGTAGCAATGAATGTTCTATACATCAACTTCAATGCATACCTGATCTGGAAGGAATACCAGCCCTTAAATATTCAGATGGTTTCTGCAAACCAATTTTCCAGTATTTAGGAATCAGCCATGGTGATTGTATGTAACATTCTATAGTACCCAAATTATTTGCAACCCTTGAAAGAATGGCTTGTTGGGAGACCAGATCTACTATTTACATCTGTCTCACATTCCCAGATTAAAACCCCGGCACAGCAAAGTACAAGTATGAGTTCCAAGCCACTATCCATTGTACTGTCGAACACACCTTAGGAATGCTAAAGTAATGATTCCGTTATTTGGGCTACTCAGGCGGGATGTTGCTTTCCACTTCAGCCTCAGGCAGGGTCTCCAAAATCATCACCATCTTGCAATATAATTTGCCATCCAACGAGGAGGGAGCATGCAGCAGCTCGATTAGAAGGCCAATGGGCCTGCAGGACCATAGAAAGAGGATGAGGCAGTGGAGGAGATCAACATGGAAGGAGTTGATGTACAGGTAGGGAGATTGGTGATGCATTCTGTGATCAAGAACTTCTTCCAGCAATGGATACAACCCACTGAACCAATTGCTTTTGATATGAAAATCCACACATTGTCCCAACCAAGAGCATGCCATATCAGTCCTTATTCAAAAGTTGAACTGCAGTTTCTAAGAACCCCACCTCCCTCATTGTGCAAACTCGCACAAAGACTCTTTATGTTGACCATACTCACTTGGAAAAGAACTTCAAACTCTTCTTTGCAAGATATAACTGAAGTTGAGTCCTAAAACCTTTTTTTTTCAGCAATAATGTGCTGAAAAAAATGGGCAAATATTATTTCTAAATCAAGCGTGCTGGCTCTGTGAGTGTTGAGCAGCTCAACCTTTAGGTTTGTTCCATGGGTGGACAAGGAAGAAGCAAGTGCCCAAAGGTGGGTTCACTGATCTTGGTATTTCCCCAATACAAGTGAATCTCTTGTGCATTTATTCCCAGGAACTGTTCGATCTGCAAAATCACATTAACTCTGCAGCCTCCACCCAGGATCTGTAATTTAATTAGTGAGAGGTCTTTAGCTCTAAAAAGGGCTGGCAGGTTTATAATAGCAAATACAACATCTTACCTCTTCCTTTGTTTTCTTGGATATCACACGTAGCCAATCTCCAATCATGCTGAGGACAGCTGCAAAGTAGGCCAGACCCACTAGAATCCAGAACCAGACTAATGGTTTATACCATTCCCGATAATGAATAGCTATGTTTCCACCTAAATAAACAGATTACATAGAACTAAGTGGTGCATTTTATAAATTTAAAACTTGTAATGGCCGCTTGATATTGAACAGTATATTTGAAAATGGACAGCCTATCACTTGATTTTCAAAAATGATCTAATTTCACAGCAACTGCTGTGATCATTCAGTGACAGTGAAACACTGACAGGTTCAGCACTAACCGAAACATTTGTCATGTCCAACACTTTGTAAAGCATTTTCGTAAGTGTTAAAGTTCACAAAAATACTCACCAATTCATAAAACACTCATTATATCAGCGGTTCTTATTAGCATTAAGAGATTGGCCGTGGTTCAGACACTTGGTTTTATTGAAACTGGTTTAAGCCAATCAAACTCAGAGCTGGAAACAAACAGCTAAAATTACTATTTCCAATTAGAAATCAATAGGAAGATAACAGGCTATGTCAATATCAGCATTACTTTGCTTACCCAAATACCTGACTTCAAATACCCAGCCATTATTTTATCTGTCTGCAGCTATGCTGCTTTAGTTGCTACAATATGAAATCTGTCACATTTCATTTATGTTAATTTTGTTGTACATCCTGTTATTTCAATTATGCATCACTTTATACACAGTAATACCTTATAGCATGAGTTTAGTTTAACATTGTGCACTGCCACTGACAAGATATCATAAATGCACAAAAGAAACTAATGGAAAAACTTAGGACATTTTGATAGAGAAACTGAGTTGCAATTGTAACTTGCTGCTCATCTCTGATTTTATTTCAGTCATATGTAAGATTGGAACTTATCATTAGTATTCATGATTTTGAAATTAATTTCATATCAGTTGATCTGATAGCCATAACAGAACAACAGAAAAAAATGAAAACTATAGTTTTATTTATTGGATTAATTTAAATTATATTTCTATTTGGTAGAATATTATTCAAATGTTTAAGTAATCCACTATACCCTATCTAACAAGTTAAAAAACAGATCCCTTCAACACCTTGTGGAAAATACAAAACATAATCAGTTTTCAAGTCCTCATTGGTATATTTTTTTCCAGAATACCAATGACCATTTCTCTCAAGGATTTATTTGCCACAATTGGAAACCTGTTTTGATGAAAACAAAAATTAATTAATCTATTTATGCTTCCAGAAGTGGAGTCTTTATTCAATTCTCTACACTTTGTCATCAGCTTAAGCCTGTTTAGTCTAATTAGGCTTCTTAATTTTTCTGACAGAGAAGCTCAGTGGTTGAGCAATGCAAACCCAAAAAGGATAATGCAAAAGTAATACAAATTTAAAGCAAGGAGAAAAATATTAAGATATAAATATTAAATATTTAAATGAATGAATTTGAAATAAACGTTTCACTGTATTTCACTGTATTGTCTCCATTCATTTCTAAAGTCACTGAGTTGCAACAGTCAACATATAATTTCTCCAACAAATATTTGTAACAATGGGAATAGCCTTCAAGCCTGCTCCACCATTCAAAGTGATCGTGTCTGATCATTCCACTCTGTACCTTGTTCACGCTTTCTCCCAATACCCTTTGATCCCACCCTAAGAACTATCTCTAACTCCTTCTTGAAAACATTCAATGACCGCTTTCTTTGGCAGAGAATTCAACAGACTCACCACTCTCTGGGTGAAAAAATTTCTCTTCATTTCAGTCCTAAATGGCCTACTCCGTATTCTTAGACTGTGACCCCTGGTTCTGGGCTCCCTGATCATCAGGAACATCATACCCTCATTTACCCTGTCTAGCCCAGTTAGAATTTTATAAGTTTCTGTGAGATTTGCCTTCATTCTTCTAAACACCAGTGAATATAGTCCCAATCAATCCAATTTGTCTTCATACATCAGTCCTGTGATCCTAGGAATCATTTTGGGTAAACCTTCATTGCACTCCCTCCATAGCCAGAACGTCCTTCTTTAGATAAGGAAACCAAATCTGTACACAGTGCTCCAGGTGTGGTCTCATCAACTCTCTGTACAATTCCAGCAAGACATCCCTGCTCTTGAACTGAATCCTCTCACTGTGAAGGCTAACTTACTATTTACCTTCTTCACAGCCTGCTGCACCTACATGCTTCCTTTCAGTGACTGGTGTACGAGGACATCCAGGTCTCATTACATCTCCACCTTTCCCAATCTATTGCTATCCAAATAATAATGCCTTCCTGTTTTTGCCTCCTTTATCCACATTGTACTTCATTTACCATGCATTTTCACACTCTCTCAATTTGTTCGAAATCGCGTCAAAGCATTTCTGCATCATCCTTTCAGTTCACCCTCCCACCTGGTTTCACGCTGTCTGCAAACTTGGAGATAATACATTTAGTTCCCCCATCTAAATCATTAATACAGTGAATAGCTGGGGTTCAAGCAGTGATCTCTGTGGTACCCCAATAGTCACTGGCTACCACTCAGAAAAAGATCAATGTATTCATATTTTTTGTTTCCTGTCTGCCAAGCAGTTCTCTATCCATGACAGTGCACTATCCCCAATTCCACATGCGTTAACTTTACATGCTGATCTCTAACGTGGAACCTTATTGAAAGCCTTCTGAAAGTCCGATTAAGCCACATCCAACGGCTCCCCATTATCAACTCTACTAGTTACATCCTTGAAACATTTAATAAATTTGTCATAAAAAACTGTCTAATCCTGTTACAGTTTTCCAAGTGTCTGCTATTAAATCTTTTATGATGGATTAATATTCCCCAATACCAATAACAGACTTATCTAACTATAAGTCCCTGTTTCCTCTCCACCTAATTTTTCAAAAATATTTGGATTACATTAGATATCTTCCTATATACAGAAACTGTTCTAGAGTCTTTGGAATCTTGAAAGATAAGCACCAAGGATCCGTTATTTCTAGGGCCATTTCCTGAAGAAATCTGGGATGCAGGTTATCATGCCCTAGGGATTTATTGGCATTTAATGCCATCAATTTCCCCAACATCATTTCCCTCCTAATATTGATTTTCCTCACTCTCAAAAGACCCTGAGATCCCTAATATTTTTGGGATGTTATTTGTGTCCTCTCTTGTGAAGACACAACCAAAGTATGTATATAATTACTTCAAATCTCCCATTATAAATTTCCCTGTTTCTGACTATAAGGGACCTACACTTGCCCTCATTAGTCTTTTTTCCTTACATACATCTATAGGGATTTTAACAATCAATATACAATTTTTGTATATTCCCCACAAGCTTACTCTCATCTTCCATTTCCAGCCTCTTAGTCAATCACTTTGCCCTCCTTTGCTGAAACCATACTTCCCCAGTTTATTGTTGGAAGCTGGGTTAACATTGTTCAGTGAGGAAAGGGGGAGCATTGTCAGTGAGAGAGGGGGAATATTGTCAGTGAGGGAGAGAGACCATTGTTCAGTGGGGGAGGGGGAGCATTGTCGGTGATGGAGAGCGAACGTTGTTCAGTGAGGGAGGGGGACCATTATCAGTGAAGCAGTGGGCAACATTGTCAAGTGTCAAGGAGGGAGTGTGACTACTATTAGCAGGACCCAAAGATTATCAGGGTCTGGAGTGAGGATTGTCTGGAGGGAGTGAAGATTGTCTGTGGTGGATGAGGATTGTCAGGAGGGAATGAAGATTGTCTGGAGGAAATGATGATTGTCTGGAGGGGATGAGGATTGTCAGGAGGGGGTGAGGATTGTTAGGAAGGAGTGAGGATTGTCAGCAGGATTGAGATTTTTGGGTTGGGTGAGCATTGTCAACGTTGCCCTGGTGCTGAAAACTTTGACACTATCACTGAACTCACATCACTGGGATCTGGCCATCTGATCCCAGAGATGTGAGGAATCTTGCAGCAATTCTGGCAGGATAAAACAGGCAATTGGATGTTAAAATAAGTACTGCACTTGGCTAAGAGTTCCTCATAGGCCCCATACATATCAGTGACTTATGATGAACTTGGTTTGCCATACCCCATGTGGAAAAATTCAGGAAGGATCCTCTTGTGGTTCAGTGGTAGTGTCCCCACCCTTAGACTGAGAGACCTGGGTTCAAGTCCTACCTGCTCCAGAGGTGTATACTAACATCTCTGAAGAGGTTGATGAGGAAAAGTTCAGGTCATAACCTTCAACCTTATGCTGCTAATTTTGTATGGCAAGCATTGCTTAACCAAACAATGTCTCATGCTTTCTGGCTGCATTTTGTATATTGAGCCTCAAGTGCAAACTACAGAGCAATAACTTCTCATTAAAACATAAAGTCCATAATGCATCAGTATTTATACAGTTGTTCAAAAAACTAACGTTTGTACACATCCTGGAGTTCAATGCATATTGGATACGTTTTTAAAATTATGTGTACGATCTTGCTTTGTTTATTTTCATTACAAATAGCTACCTTTATAGATTGACAAATAATCAGATATATGTGTAATATAATTAGACATTGTCATAGCATAGCTGCAGTTTCTAAGATTTATGTGACAGGCTATTTAAATTGCCAGGGTCACTCAGCCAGCCACTAATGCCATGCTCTGCCTGCCAACAATCAATGCAGAATGTTGTTATTTCTTAATCATGGTCTTATATGTTTCCTTACTTTGCAATCTCTCAGATAGCTCAGGTTTGGCCTCAAATTCACATTCATCCTTTGTTCAACAAATTGCAGTCCGATTCTGATCCAGGTATATGATTTGGAGTGGAGTTAATAAATAGACTAAAATAGATATCTGTTCTAATGATGTAATTATATGTCTTTCTTTCTTCTGATCCAAGGAATTTTCCCCGGTGTGGTTTACAGGACCATCGATCATGTTTGTTCTATTTCAGACATTCTGCTCTCACAACTTCATCTCTCTCCCAAAACTACAATGGATTTCCTCTTATCCTCAACAGGAACCACAGCATCCTCTAAATTCAACAGATTGTCCTCAGTCATTTCCTCCACTTCCAGTGTCAGATGACTATGATATACATTTTCCCTATCTTCCCTCACAGCATTCCAATAAGGACCATTCCAAAGTCCTGGTCCAGTCCTTAGTCATCCACAATACCTACCCCTTTCTATAATGTCGCTCCATACAAGCTCAAGAATGCAAACTGTTTCCTTACAGGTCCCCAAACTATATCAGATGAAACGGTGATTTTCTTGTACTTCTTGAAATGTAATCCATTGCATTTGCTGGGAGACCAAATGCTAGCTCAGCAATTGCTTTTTAACACTGCTCTTTTCAGTCCACAAGCTTGACCCTGAGTTTCCAATCCTATTTAATTTTAATTATCCCCTTTACACTTTCTCTGACCTTTCTGTCCTTGGCGTTCTTCAGTGTTTCAATGAAGTGCAATGCAACTCAACAAACAGCACTTTATTCTTCCATGAGTACTTTTCAGCCTTTTGAACTCAACATTGTATTCTGCAATTTTAGATTATAACCTCTGTCCACATTTTATTCTATTTATTTGTTGGTCTAGTGTTATCAGTTATTTCTCTCATTTTTCTATTGCTTTACTATCAGATGGCAGCTATTGCATGATCCTGGTACTCACGTCTCCTAGAGCCAAATATTTTGTTTCATTACTTTTCTTGTCACAACTCCATTTCTTCTTGTAATCTTTTGTCAGTTAATCTCTTCTGCCCTCCAGTATTATCACAGACTTTCCCTTTTATTCTTTTTGAGTTTTCCATCTACATACCATTTTCATTTGTTTAAAACCTATTACTTTTCCCAGTTCTGAAGTAAGGTCACAGAGCTGAAATATGGGAAAAATCTTCTAGTCCCAGAAGCAATGGGCCTAGAGGCAGAAAGGCAACCTATTTAAGTTGAGGTAGTTCTCTATTGTCTTCCCACATTCACTAAAACCAAATTCTGAGTGAGAATGGCCAAACTTAATTTTCCCACCCTAATGCTAATTGAGACCTTTAATGGTCTATGAATGATCTTTTGTAGGCTTAGTTTAACCTGGAGTCCAAGCAGGATGAGAAAGAATCAGTCTATCTTACTTATAAACCAGTGCAGCAGACTGTCAATTGGAGGGGTTTCCTCAATGGGCACTAATCTGTGCATGATTGAGGCGTTAAACATAACAGTGCTGATGGTCCCTTCCTGATGACTTCCATCCTGTGGGAACCCCAATAATACTACAATGTTCCATGGCTGCAGCTCCATTTTTAGAGTCCATGGGGTGCTGCAATGAAAGCCACAGCCTCCTCCATGACATTGCCAAGTGCAAGAGCTACCATCCTCTGATTGGTTAGTAGCTCTTGGAAGGTGGGATTTCCTCTATTGGGGTCTTGATTCTGGTCAAAAGCTAGAAGATCTAATGAGTTTTTAGAACCTAACCGAGCGTCTGTTTCACCCCATTAAGCTCTGCTGCTTTCTGCCCATTAACTCTATTTCTCTATTCACAGATGCTACCTGACCTACTGAGTAGTTTCAGCATTTTCTATTTTTAGTTCAGATTTCCAGCATCTGCAACAGTTTGTGATCATAGAAATATTGGGTTGATTGTCAAATAAGTCAAGTAAATACCTAAACTAAACAAATTTATTCAAGACATAAATTTGTACCTGAAATGATCTTAGGCCAATACGCTGTTTACCTGCTACATAGTCACCAAATCCTACAGTTGTTAAGGAGATAACAACAAAATAGATGGAGTCCAGAGTTGTCCACCCTTCGATGTGCTTGAAAATAATTGCTGGGATAGTCACAAACACAAGGCAGCCAGCTAGAATGAAAAGGATTGTGGAGATGACCCGGATTTTAGTTTGGCTCACTTGCTTTTTCTGAAAGAAGAAATAAGTGATGAATATTTATCTATACTTATACTTGAAGCCACAGTACACTATACTGTAAAAATTGGATTTTGAAATAATAAAGTGCTTTGTTTGATAAAAATAATTATAACTGAATAGTCATTATTGTGGTCACAAATGATATTGAAAACGAAACATTTTTTTCTTTCTCAAACACATGAAGCCTCTGAGTATTGATTCAAGAGAAAGCACAGATAGGAGTCAACTGCTACAATGCAAGAAAGCTTGTCAAATAGTCAACAGAGAGAGGCAAACCATGTCTGAATTGGATTTTAGACAGTGTAAAAAGAATTTCTGTAAGATTCTCCTATGTGCCTGATAAAACTTCAGCAGTAAGTCAATGGGTGCCCTGGAGAAACTGTACTTAATGTTTCCAGCAATTTGTGCCATATCTCTAGGGGTTCTGCTGACCACCCTGTAAACAAGACTTGTGGGACTTCCAAGCGTAAATCTCCAAGGTCTAAAAACCACTGTACACAGTTGGAGGAAATACAAATTTAAAACTGAATGTGAAATTCATACTTTGCTTTTTGGATTCAGGTAGTCAAAACCTGAATTAAGTTTTGAAATAATATAATCACCTTTGATGTGGTTTCTGATAACACTCACAGTGCCTATTGCTATATTTACCTGAAATTGTAAAAGAACTATCTGCAGTCGAAATTGATCTACAATTCTATATTGAAGGACAGAATGTTGATACACTTTAAAGTACAATGCCATAAAATGATAGGTTTTGGATTCTTCCTTCCAAATGACCATATGGTGAATTTCTATCCTTAGCCATGCTATCCCAGAGGCTATCAGCTTGAGGTGTGTGGAAAAGCAAGACATTTCCATACAGGCTGGAAGAAAACCAAAAGGGAAGGGAAACTAGGGCATTCTTGCACACTTCTTAGTACTGTACTCACTTACAATACTGGTTGGTTAACTGTCATCTCTGTCAGATGTTACATAAGAATGAACTATCAAATTAAAAACAAAATATATGGGCTTCAGGACAAATCTGAATTAATTCATTCAGATCACATCACCGGCTCAGACTGATTGAGGAAGTGGAAGGGGATGGGGTCAGTAGTGTTTCCCAAACTGGTCGTAATAACTTGTAAGGCCACATCAGGAGAATTCATTTCCAATCAGCCCGCCAGAAGACTGAATGACACACACATAAATCTTATCAGATTGCACAACAAGGCTGTTCCCAAGTTAAAAGCAAGCAGCTTCGAAAGATTTGTGATTTCAATGGATTCAAAGCTCGATGGAACCATATAATCAATTCCCTCCAAGATGTATTATTTTACTTTGGGTAAGATTTGGCAGCTTTCCTGTAGCTTCAGTTGAACTCAACTCAACTTTCAACTGGCATGAGTTCCAATGAAACCATTTAATGGCCAAAATCCCATAGCACCCAGGGATCCCCTCATGATACTTTTGGGGGTTGGTGGGATTGTGGGTGGGCATCATACCACAGATTTATCTTAAGCCTCACTCTTAGGAACTTGGTGAAGCCAAAAATCAGGCAATCCTAGCCCACAACTGTCTGGTCCATGTCTAGATCTTTGAGCCCATGTCTGTCTACATTTTCTTTAGATCTGTTGTCTCCTAATATAATTCCTCAAAAGACATGATACTCTTTTATCATAAACTTCTCCACAATAAGTAAATTTTTACAAATGACTGACACAGCACAGGAGGCTTAATTTTGATTTAACTGAGATACACTGTTGCAGTGTTATCTGACGTTCCCTCTATCTTATTGATAATGGCATTAATATTGATGTGATAAATTTAATCCAGTTGGTCAGAAGATCTCTTTATCTGAAAAGGGGTACATCACACTTGTCAATGCTTCCTCTGAAGTTAGAATGATGTTTAATGATTTGACAGAATTGGATAAGTACACGTTAAAGAAAAAGCTGTGCATTTAGCTAAACAATGGAGAGGACTGTGGTGCTAATGTCCCCTCATTTAGCCACATACTACCAGAAAGTCTAATTCTTTAAATAAGCTAGATTGCCACATACTTATAGCAAATATGAAAGCAAAAGGATCACATTTTTAAAATTTGTTTTCTTCTATTTTTCGGTCTGAAGGTGTGCCATGTTGCCATGGGAATAACTTGCAGGGAGATTTTGTTTTGTTTTGGGTTTTACCTCATTTATCACAGTGAGTGGAGGCCAGCTTGGTAGCTACTTTGAGACAGGTATAGATGGAGAATTTGCCAGGGGCTGTAAAGCAGCTGAAAGCAGGTCTATCAGAAGTCAAGAGTATTTTCTGGTTTGGAATATGTTTTCTTTTCAGCTAAAAGACATGATTGGTTCTGGGTGGAGTATTTGTGACGGTGTTTTGCTTTAAATCCACATTAAATATTTGCCACGCAACTAACTTTTTTTTTCATTTGTTGAATAAAGCAGTGTAGGGAGTGGTTAACGTAGATGTGATGGATTTCTATTGGTGATTCTAGTGCCTGGAGAATAACACCGTAAATTTTTGATTGAGTCTTTTCAAATTAGAAATTTGTTCATAAGGTCTTAGTGTACCTTTATATTTCCCAATTTATGGGAAACGCTACAATGTCTGAAACACCATAATTATTTAATATAGATGAATAACATTAAGTACGGGACCATGAGAAAAAGACAATGGGCACTTGGGAACTTGAATTCATTTTTTAAATGACCAAATCCAGTAACAATGAAAATGTTGAATTGTTGTAAATACCCAAACAGTTTACTAAGGCTTTATACAGAATTGGCAAGTCATTACCCCATCTGGTTTAGACATTATTCCAGTCCACCATCAATGTGGTTGACTCTTCAATGTCCTCTAAAGTGTTCAGGCAAGCCTTTCAGTTTTAGCAGAATCTTTACGCAGTAGTTCAAGAATAAGGCTCACTGCTGCCTCCACAGGTCAGTAAAAGGCTTTGTCAGTGACATCCACTTCCCAAAAATAATTTAAATGTATAACAACATTGAAGTGTAGCTCCTAGTAGTTTGATATTGTATTGTTCATTCTTTATCATCTAGTTAATTTTTCCATTATTTTGATTTCTACTATTATTTTTGCTGTCTGTTCATACGTGAATCATTCTTTCATCGTGCACCAACATAAGTGTGACCTACTAATTTTTCTGATGAAGGGAGGACTATGTTTCATTTATAAAGTAAAATGTGTGAACATCTGAGTCAGAAATGATGTAACGTTTGTAAAATATATAATCAACTTTGATTTTGTTGATGTGTTGAGCATATCAACGCTTGCTGAGGATGAATGTTTTACACACCATAGAGTTCATGGAGCATAAAATAATACAACAAAATATTGAATACCTATCAACTTACTCTGAAGACTTTCTCCACTCTTGCAATGCTTTTACCAAAGATTGTGCCCAATTGATCCCCAATTCCTGCTAACAGAAAGCCGAAGAGAGGAATTCCAAACAAAGCATATAAGATGCAGAATATTTTCCCTCCTTCAGTACTGGGTGCAATATTCCCATAACCTAACAAAATAAATAAGAACGTATTTTTGAGATATAACAACAAAGTCATAAAGATCTCTTGCTAGATAATGAACAAGGAAATAAAATGCTAAATCATCAATCAGCTTGGAGATAGACAAAAAAAGTATTGAAGTGGCAACTGGAGTTCAAACTGTAAGCTATCAATGTATACAATTAAACTACTAAATAAGAACCAAAAGAACTGTGGATGCTGTAAATCAGGAACAAAAACAAAGTTGCTGGAAAAGCTCGGCAGGTCTGGCAGCATCTGTGAAGGAGAAAACAGAGTTAACATTTTGGGTCCGGTGACCCTTCCTCAGAACTGTTCTGAGATATTCAGAAACGTTCTGAGGAAGGGTCACCAGACCCGAAAGGTTAACTCTGTTTTCTCCTTCACAGATGCTGCCAGACCTGCTGAGCTTTTCCAGCAACTTCGTTTTTGTCCGCAATTAAACTACTACTCTATCTTTTATTGCCCGGTATCTTTGTCCTTACTTGGGAAACAAAGACAATATTTTTCAGTAATTACATAGTTAGTTCAGTCCCAAATGTAGATTAGTTCAGTGCCTTGCAGCAGTGCATGAAATGCAAATGATATATTATCTGAGAAGTCACAATTCTAGAGACCTGTTTAGAAACCTTAGCAATCCAAAATTGATATTCAGGTTCTCTGTTTAGGTTCTGAAGCTTTGATACCTTATTTTGAAATCTGCATGTCCTGTATACCCTATAGAAATGTTCAATCGTTAAAATCAGTGATGTCCCAGAAGAAACAGTTCAGAGATGATGGATTGAAATACAGTGTCAATAAATCTATTTTTGTTCTGTGGTTTTTACTTTACCTGCGTATTAGGGAACAAATGAGAATGAGAAATGAATAATTATAGTATTAACTCTCCATTTTATTAATTCTGCATACTTTGTTTATAGTACATGAATCTTGCGAATGTTACGCCATTACAGACAACATATTGATATAGAATGCTAATTACACAAGAACACAAGAACGCAAGAACTAGGAGCAGGAGTAGGCCGTCTGGCCCTTCGAGCCTGCTCCGCCATTCAATAAGATCATGGCTGATCCTTTCGTGGACTCAGATCCACTTACCTGCGTTCTCACCATATCCCTTAATTCCTTTATTGTTCAAAAAAAAATCTACCTTTTTTTTAAAAGCGTTTACTGAAGTAGCATCAACTACTTCAATGGGCAAGGAATTCCATAGATTAACAACCCTCTGGGTGAAGAAATTCCTTCTCAGTTCAGTCCTAAATCTGCTCCCTCTAATCTTGAGGCTATGCCCTCTTGTCCTAGCTTCACCTGCCAGTGGAAACATCCTCTCTACTTCTATCTTATCTATTCCCTTCATAATTTTATATGTTTCTATAAGATCCCCCCTCAATCTTCTGAATTCCAATGAATATAATCCCAATCTACTCAGTCTCTCCTCATAAGCCAACCCCCTCAACTCCGGAATCAACCTAGTGAACCTCCTTTGCACCCCCTCCAGTGCCAGTACATTCTTTCTCAAGTAAGGAGACCAAAACTGCACACAGTACTCCAGGTGTGGCCTCACCAGCACCTTGTACAGCTGCAACATAACCCCTCTGCTTTTTATTTCAATCCCTTTAGCAATGAAGGACAAAATTCCATTTGCCTTCCTAATTACTTGTTGTACCTGCAGACCTACCTTCTGTGATTCATGCACAAGGACACCCAGGTCCCTCTGCATAGCAGCATGCTGCAACTTTTTACCATTCAAGTAATAATCTTTTTTACTATTACTCCTACCAAAATGTGTGACTTCACATCATATGTGACCTAATCTACATGCACAAAGTAACAGTGTTCCACTTATTATCAAGCGACATTGCAAATTGAACTTTGAATGAGGATATTACCTCATAATAAAACAGTACAGCACAGGAACAGGCCCTTCAACCCATCATGTCTGTGCCAACCATGATGCTATTGTAATCTCATCTGTCTGCACACAGTCTGTATCCCTCTGTTCTCAATCTGTTCATGTGTCTATCTAAATGCTCCTAAACTTTCCTATCATATCTGCCTTTACCACCTCGCCTGGCAGTAATATTCCAGACACCTACTATGCTCTGTGTAAAATAACTTTCTTTGCATAACTCCTTTAAACTTACCCCCCTCTCACCTTAAACCTATGCCCCATACTATTTGACATACCCACGCAAAGAAAGAGACTCTGAGTATCCACCTTATCTATGCTTCTATATACTTCTATCAGATAGCCCATCAACCTCCAACACTCGAGCAAAAACAATCCAAGATTAAACCGATATTCATTTCAAGCCCACCGACTCCCACAGCTACCTAGAATACCCCTCCTCCCACCCACCTTCCTGCAAAAATGCTATCCCCTATTCCCAATTCCTTCGCCTCCGCCGCATCTGCTCCCAGGATGAGGCATTCCACTCCCGTACATCTCAGTTGTCCTCGTTTTTCAAGGACCGTAACTTCCCCCCCTCAGTGGTCGAGAACGCCCTCAACCGTGTCTCCCACATCTCCTGCAACTCATCCCTCACACCCCGTCCACGCAATAAGAACCAAAAAAGAATCCCCCTCGTCCTCACGTACCACCCCACCAACCTCCGGATCCAATGCATCATCCTCCAACACTTCCGCCATCTGCAATCTGACCCCACCACCAAAGACATCTTTCCCTCCCCACCCTTATCTGCTTTCTGGAGAGACCACTCTCTCCGTGACTCCCTTGTCCGCTCCACACTCCCCTCCAGCTCCACCACACCCGGCACTTTTCCCTGCAACCGCAGCAAGGGCTACACCTGCCCCCATACCTCCTCCCTCACCCCCATCCCAGGCCCCAAGAAGACTTTCCACATCAAGCAGATGTTCACCTGCACATCTGCCAATGTGGTATACTGCATCCGCTGTACCCGGTGTGGCTTCCTCTACATCGGGGAAACCAAGCGGAGGCTCGGGGACCGCTTTGCAGAACACCTACGCTCGGTTCGCAATAAACAACTGCAACTCCCAGTCGCGAACCATTTCAACTCCCCCTCCCATTCCTCAGACGACATGTCCATCCTGGGCCTCCTGCAGTGCCACAACGATGCCACCCGAAGGTTGCAGGAACAGCAACTCATATTCCGCTTGGGAACCCTGCAGCCCAATGGTATCAATGTGGATTTCACAAGTTTCAAAATCTCCCCTCCCCCCACCGCATCCCAAAACCAGTCCAACTCGTCCCTGCCTCCCTAACCTGTTCTTCCTCCCACCTATCCCCTCCTCCCACCTCAAGCCGCACCTCCATCTCCTACCGACCAACCTCATCCCGCCCCCTTGACCTGTCCGTCCTCCCTGGACTGACCTATCCCCTTCCTAACTCCCTACCTACACTCACCTTTCCTGGCCCCATCCCCGCCTCTTCGACCTGTTTGTTTCCTCTCCACCTATCCTCTCCTCTATCCCTCTTCTATCCGCCTCCCACTCTCTCCCTATTTATTTCAAAACCCCCTTCCCCTCCCCCTTTTCTGATGAAGGGTCTAGGCCCGAAACGTCAGCCTCTCTGCTCCTATGATGCTGCTTGGCCTTCTGTGTTCATCCAGCCCTGCACCTTGTTGTCTCTGTACATCATTGTAAATAGGGTGCAAGGAAGCAATAAAGCAGATTGAGGTGAGGCACTGGGAAGTAAATGAGCTGCACTTCCTGAAACCAATGCACATTAACGTTGAAGAAGTTAACTACAGTTAAATATATATAATATATAGAAGGCTGTGAAGTATAACCTTGGTGTCTTCTCAAATTTTTAACCAAGGAGTTATTGGCAGAAAGTTTAACTGTCCTGCTATCTTAAGGGACCAATACACATGCTACCAAGATCCTCTAATCCTCAATGCATCTTCGGGTTCTACTGTTCATCAAGCATTCCTTTGCCTTGTTTGTGCATGATCTCACACTTATCCAGACTGAATTCCCTTTGCCACGGATAAGTTGATCTGACCAGCCTATCTATATCCTCCATAATTTAAGGCTGTCCTCCTCACCACTCACTACCTCATCAATTTTCAGATCATCTGTGAACTTACTGCTCAATCCTCCTACATCAAGTCTAAAATCATTTATATAAAGCACAAACAGCAAAGGCTCCAACATTAATCCCAGTAGAAACCTGACCATTACCCTCTGCTTCCTGCCAGAGGCAATTCTGGATATAATTGGTGTGGCATGGTTGCTCAGTGGTTAGCACTGCAGCCTCATGGCACCAGGGACAGTATTTTCAATTCCATCCTTGGGTGACTGTCTGTTTGGAACTTGCATATTCTCCCCGTGTCTGCGTGGATTTCCTCTGGGTGTTCAGGTTTCCTCCCACAGTCTAAAGATGTGAAGGTTAGATGGACATGCTAAATTGCCATAGTGCAGTCTAGGTGGATTAGCCATGGGAAATGCAAGGATACAGTAGAGGGGTGGGTCTGGGTGGGGTGTTCCTTGGAGGATCAGCGTGGACACAATAGGCTGAATGGTCTGCTTCCACACTGTAGGGATTCTATAACTACCCAAATTTTCTGGGATTCCATGAACTCTTAACTTTGCTATCAGTGTCCCATGAAGGACCTTATCAAAAGCCATGCTAAAGTCCAAGAAGACTATGGCAAATGCATTTCCCTCATCTACATATCTGCTTACCTCTTCAAAAAAATTTAGTCAAGTTGGTCAGACATGACCTCCCCTTAACAAAAACATGCAGACTACTCTTGATTAATCCCTGCCTCTCCAAGTGCAAATGAATTCTGCCCCTCAGAATGGTTTCCAATTGTTTCCGCACTACTGAGGTTATACGGATTGGCCTGTAATATCTTAGTTTATCCCTTGCTCCCTTCTTGAATAACAATACCACAATGGCTGCCCTCCAGTGCTCTGGTACCTCTCACTTGTGGCCAGACAGAAATTGAAAAATATTGTCCGTGCCCCTGCCATTTCCCTCCTTACCTCACTCAATAGCCTCCGA